TAAAGAGTTCAGCTTTTGACCATAAACCCAGCTTGTGTGAACACATCATCACCCCTTGCCTACAACCAATAAAAGTCTTCCTGCTTCAGTTCGGGGATGTGGCTTCTCCAGCCTTGATCTCTGGGACTAGAGAACTCATCTGGGACTTGTCTTGCTCAGATAAACCTGTTGTTATACTTTTCCAATTCAGCTTGATCTGACTTACTGCATCAGTGGAGAAACTTATTATGGGGGGCAGAAAACCTATTAAATACTACTGTGAACCTGAGTAGACCTTAGAAACTTATAAATCTGGATTATCAAATATCAAGCATATGTTACTTATCTAAATTTTCTAGCAGCTTGGTGTTAACTTGAGTGGGAGTAGGCAGTATTATCATGCTGTAAGGTTCCAAGGTGGCAGGGATTTTGTCCAAAGAATTATTTTATTTAGAGAGGCTACCATTGTATACATTTTCATCCTTCACCAAAGCCCACACAAAATTTCCCAAAGGAAAAGGCATAAGGTAACTCACATAATACATACTGAGAATCATTAAAAAGGAAAGTAAAAGGTGCTGGAGAATTGTGGTCCAGAAGTTGAAATGGTGGAACTCTGTCAAGCAGTAATGGTTGCCATGTGGTCAACGCCAAAAGAGGGCAGAGTAACCAAAATGGCTGGATTATATAGGGAAGGGCGGCTGGGCGTGGGGAAGCCCAGCCCCTGGACTGGAGAAGTTTAGGATAGGGGGTCAGGTATGCCAGCCACACCCTGTAACAGGCAGGGACTACTGAAGGATTCTGGGAGAATCTGGCCGCCAGGTCTGCTTTGATATGTTTAATAGGCACCTCACTTCATAATTAAAAATAAAATCTTTTTTAAAAAAATTCATCTGTGGTTGATACATTGTGCACCCCAATAAACTTATCTGGGGCTCAGAGAACAGAGCAGCCACAATATTTAACATAGAGGTTAGGCAGTGGTAGCACACGACTTTAATCCTAGCATTCCAGAGGTAGAGATCCATCTGGATATCTGTGAGTTCAAGGCCACACTGGAAACATCCAGGTGTGGTAACAAGAGCCTTTAATACCAGGAAGTGATGGCAGAAGCAGAAAGGTATAAAAGGTGTGAAAACCAGGAACCATCTGGTTAAGTAAGCGTTTAGGCTTTTGAGCAGCACAGAGGCTGCTAGAGAGGAGTCTAGAGGCTTCCAGTCTGAGGAGACAGGATCAGCTGAGGAATTGGCAAGGTGAGGTAGCTGTGGCCTGTTCTGTCTCTCTGAACTTCCAGCATTCACCCCAAGCTGGCTCCAGGTTTGTTTTTATTAATAAGACCATTTAAAATTCGTGCTACATTCATCAAAATTATGAAAGGGGCTGGAGAGATGGCTCAGCAGTTGAGAGTATTTATGTTCTTGCAGAGGACTGGGTTCAGTTCCCAGCACTCACATGGTGGTCTAAAACCATCTCTAGCTCCAGTTCCAGGGCATCTAACACCTTCTCCTGAACTCTACAGGCACCAAGGCACACATGTGGTACACAGACATTCATGCAAAGAAAAATACTGACATATAAATCTTTAAACATTCTTATAATAATAGTTTCATTAGAAGTGATAAAATTGTAAGTAATTTTCTTTTCTTCTTATCCTTAACTTCATCTAAGTTTCCATTTTTAAAACCTCAAGTTCTTTTAGATAATTCCTTTTAAAAATCATTTGTCTGTGTGAGCAATGAGCAAGTGTATGTGCAAGTGTGTGACCCTTGATGAGTATGGAGGTCAGATTCCTCAGAGTTGGAGTTACAGCCCTTTGCCGGGCTTGTTATGTGGGTATTAGTGACACCAGCTAGCAGGTGGATTCTTTTCTCTGTCAATTAGGGAAATGAAAGACAGGAAAATGGCTCAGTGCAAAATAAAAACTGATTGGCAAGTTTTAGAGACTTCTCGGGTACAGAGAGGCCTCCAGAGCTGAAAGCCTGGTGCCAAGGAACAGTTTTTATATGGACTCAAGAACCCTCTTTCTGATGACACCCCCTGTTCTGCTGGACTTGGGCGCTATGTGTCCCGTTTGGTGCAAATGATTCAGTCCCTGCTTCTGTCCATGAACATCTCCCTTCCATCTCTCCTTTCTGTTTCAGGATATTTGATCACACTGTGACACCCTGAGACTGTGTTAATCAAGTTAAACTTGAATCTGGGGGTGGAGCCAGAAATTAATTGACAAGAAGTAGTCATAGAGAATATGGAGGACCTAGACTATGAATAGAGTGGCTCAGGAAGGAGTAGAAAGGGACTTGGGGAGTCACGGGATTTTGTTGGTCCCCTTTTTGGTCTGTGAAGTGTGGAGAGAAGGTCAGCAGGTTACTCCTCCGCTACTTCTTTATCTATCAAGTTTTTGCCCCAATATCTGACTGCTGAGTCTTTTTTGGTCATAGAACAATTTAGATAAGCACGACACTTTTTTGTTCTTCAGGGATCCACAGAGCAAGCCATCTCTCCAGTCCGCTTTTAGAAACTTCTAACTTCTAATCATTTTGGAAATTCTAAAGGGAGATATTTGCTCTTCTGTGTGTGTGTTCACGTGTGTGCATCTCTGTATGTCTGTGTATATGTATGTATTGTGTGTGTGTGTCTCTGTGTGTGTGTGTGTGTGTGTGTGTGTGTGTGTGTGCTCCCCGTATGTACGTAAGTGCTTTGCATGTGTGCCTGGTCTCCTCAGAAGCCTGAAGAGAGCAGATGAATACCTTGGAGCTGATGGTACAGGTGGCTGTGAACTGCCAGTGTGGGTACTGAGACCTGAACCAGGTCCTCTGAAAGAACAGGAAGTACTCCTAATCACTGAGGCCCCTAAAATTTATTTTTAAAGTTTATTTAAACCAGGCATTTATAGAGAAGTTGTGTGAAAACCAAAATATAACAGTATTACTGGCAAGTGACAGTCAAAATATTTAACTCAGAATTGGAAAATCATCTATTCCCCAAAGTTTGTTCTTCATCTGGGGCCCAGAATTAATGCTAGAGCTGATGCAATCTGAACTGAGTGCCAGCAAATGTTTACCAAGCCCCGTCCCAAAGGGTGGTGCTTCAGAAATGACGCTGCCTGGGATTGTCTTGAGAGTTCAATATAGACAAATACACTTTGAAATATCACTTTCCTTTCCAGCAAGAAACTGTGAAACCTAAACACCTTATCACAATATGCAAGAGGTTTTCATTTCCTATTGGCTCTGCTTCCCTGGGAACCACAGCACATACAGGAAGTTCATGCCTCTAGTCTTATTTACAGCAGAATGGAAGAATAAGGGAAGCTGTGGGCTTCATCAGGGATGATTCCAAGAGAACAAACCACTGAACTAATATAGCCCCCTCCTTCTAATCTATAAAAGGCTGATAACATGATTACATGAGCTGTGACGTAATCCCCAGGATTATAAATGGTTCTTTGCAGTATGTGACCTATTTTATGGGAAGTCAATTTGTGAAAGCTGAATCACAAGGTTTAAAAGTCTAGGACCTTCACCCTCAAGCAAAGGTCGTCTTGATCCCTTTCCACTGCTACATGTTTATGTTTTCTTCAGGACAACAACAGCTGTGAAGTCAAGGAAGACTTGCTGTTTCATGAGGGGAGGGGAGCCATTGTTCAGCACCTGGAATACACGGCCAGCGCTGATCACATTGGAAAAAAGTGTGTCCTAGAGGAAGCTCTGGGCAGTGATGAAATGGCTCCGTATCTTTATAACCGTGGCCATAAGAAGTATGTTGCAATAAAATGTCATATTTATGTCCTTATTCTGTCAAGGTTAATTTCCTGTTTTGAGACTGCACCTAAATAAGACAAATACAGGTGTAACGTGGGGTAGAGGGTCCTTCTGACCTCTGTAATGTCTTTTCAGCTTTCTGTGATTCTGTGTTTATTCGAAATAAAATGGTTTTAAAAGTTTATTTTGTGTACCTTAACATTTCCCTGAACAGTTTTCATTTGGACGAACCAAGAAGAATAAAACAGCAGGAGTTTTTCTTTTCTCTCTCTCTCTTTTTTTTTTGTTTTGTTTGTTTGTTTGTTTGTTTGTTTTGGTTGTTTTTTTTTTCGAGACAGGGTTTCTCTGTGTAACAGCCCTAGTTGTTCTGGATCTTGCTCTGTAGACCAGGCTGGCCTTGAACTCACAGAGATCGGCCTGCCTCTGCCTCCTGAGTGCTGGGATTAAAGGCCTCCGCCAGGCCCCAGCAGATGTTTTTCAAACGTGAGGTTTTCAATCACAGACCCCAAGGGAGGCAACTCGAGGCTGGGAGTGTTCTGGCAAAAAGCTTCTTCCACAGCCTGGGCACTGTAAACACTTAATGTTAGAATCCAGGCCTGACTCGTATGAACAAAACCGCCCCCAACTCCAAGGTTGGCTCCTTGTCATCTTTCAGGGGACATCCAAGGGCCACATTCTTATTATAGAAGCCTTCCAGGTTCTATTAACCAAAGTGGATTCTCCGTGCTGTTGCTTCGCAACACCCTTGGCTTGTTTGTTTGTGGCATAATATGAACTTCACCAGGGCTGGCACTGTGTCCACCCCTGCTCACTGCATCGCCAGCTGGGAGGACGGCCAGCTAGAGGCCAGATGCTTCATAAATTAACTTTGTTTGAAGAAAGTAGATGCACCTCCCGGGAATCCGTCCGCTTTGGGGAGAGGATGGACCCCTTCCTCCCACACCACCGTGCCCCCAGGCTGGCCTCAGCACCCGCTACAAGAGGGCTCTCCTTCCTCCTCGCTGATGCCAGGAACCGCAGGAGGCCTGGCTCTAGAACTGCTCCTCAGCACCGCCCTGTTCCGGCGCCTTCTCCTCGGATCATCCCACCAGAAGCTGGGGCGATACCTTGGCGGGGTCCTAAGCATTCTAACCTCACCGCCTTTTCCAGAGGCGGGTTCGCGGACACCGCCCTTCAGGCCACGCCCCTCGTGCCACGCCCCCCGGCGAGGGAGGGCGGGGAGGGGGCGTGTCTTCTCCATTCCCGGGCGCCTATTGGGAGGGTGCCCTGCGGGAGGCGGGGCTGCACCCGGAGCTCGAGCCCCTACGTTACTAACGGCTTTCTGTGAGTCTCGGCTTTTGGGACTGACATGGTGAAGAGCGACTCCGACTCAAGCAATATGTCTGAGAAACGACATCCCGACCACGTCGCGACTCAGCGGCTCCCCGAGTCCTTCAGGGGTGAGTCCCTGGCACAGCTGCCCCGAGCCCGCCCCTGGGTACCGAGCCCCCAGCCTCAGCTAGAACCCCGCGGGTTCCGAGAGGCGGGTCTCCCCTGCAACTGAGTGCACTTCTCAGAACCGCGGTCTTCTCCTTCGCCCCTGGTTTCTCGGGCTGGTAGATGATGGTTTCTGGGTGCTAGGGTGCAACCTGCATGGCAGCCAAGAGGGCACACCCTTGGCAGGGGCGTGTATCCATTGCTTCGGACCCTGGCAGGCAAAGGCTCGCTTATCCTTTGGGCCCTAGATGCCACGCCAGGTGCCAGCGCTTCCTTATCTCGCGCCATGCACGCGGACCAGGGCAGTCCCTGGCAGTGATAGAGGCGGCTCTCCCGCAGGTTCAGCCTCGCCCACTCTCCTTTCTTTCCTTCCCCTGCGCCTCATAAGGGAAGCGGTTGGGTCAAGCATCCTTCCTCATCTATCTATAAGGTGATTCCCCACTCCTCTGGACTAGCGACGAACTCCTACCCGCTTCCCGCCGTCCCCAGCTTCAGGAAATTTTCATAGGAAAGGGCTAGACTTTAGGTGGTATAGGCAGAGATCTTCAAGGCTTTCCTTCTTCCAGTTCCATTGTCTGCCTCATTCTATCCCCTTTTGTCTTAAAAATCTCTCCTTGCAGGTAAATAGCCCGGTGCTCACCACCCTACCCGGGGCCTTCCTAGTCTTGAAAGCAACAACTGTAAGAGGCCCCATCCTGTGCCCTGTGAAGAAATTAGTCCTTGAGCAAAGTACCCACTTGAGCCTTTAAATTGGATAACTCCTTGGAGTCGAGAGATGCCCAGTAAGAGATAATAAATCTCGCAGGAGTTCTGCTCTCCTCTCAGGGGCTTTACTGATTCAAAGGAATTATTTCTAAAGATGGAATTTCAGAGAGGATGGCACAGTGGAAGAGATTGAAGAGGCTGAGAGGGCTTTTCCAGCAGAGACCGCTGTCATCCATGCGGATTATTTGCACAGCCAGCCTGTCTTCCCATCTAAATCCCATCCCTAAGCCAGGAACACCCCCTTTAATTCTTTCTCGGGCGTATCACGAGAATTTCAGACGGCTCCGGAGTGTATAGAGCACCAGGCAAGAGGCCTTGGGTGCCATTTTCTCAGTGCATGCGTGTGGGACTCTCTCTATGCTTTACCTCCCAAATTGGGAGTATAATAAAAAAGACAAAAACAGACAAAAACCACACAGTAGGCTAAGGCACTATGCTCAATATTTTATGTTATTTTACTGAATCCTCACAACTGATACTCAAAGAGATTGACTTAGTCACACAGGATTAGTGGAGCCATGTTTTAAATTCATATTTAAATGATTCTAAAACTGAACAGGAAAAAGCTGTTTAGTATCAGTAGTGGTCTGCGCCCAGATACAGGTGTGGGTATTGGTAGACTCCTCCACTGGTATCTGCCCCCCCCAAAGTGGGAAATGGATTTGGAGCAGTACCCTGATAGTAACATGATCTCTGCATTTAAAGATCATTCCATTTTCTTGGTCACAAACCACTTTGGGTTTTACTTCCAAATCCCTTTTCTTGGTTCTACATTTAGCTGTTTTAGACAGAAATCTTTTAGAATTAGTGAAAATGAGTGTGCTTTTTCTGGAGTATATATACAAATGAAACTTTGCTTGGTTTTTGTCACTTTTTATTTTTAAAACTTTACATCTGCCGGGCGGTGGTGGTGCACGCCTTTAATCCCAGCACTTGGGAGACAGAGGCAGGAGGATCTCTGTGAGTTAGAGCCTAGCCTGGTCTACAGAGTGAGATCCGGGACAGGATCCAAAATTACACAGAGAAACCCTGTCTCCAAAAACAAACAAACATAAAAAACCTTGAAATCTACTTAGTGTGCGTGTGGTTGGCTTGTGGAGGTCACAAGAGAACTCGCAAGAGTTCTCTCCTTCCAGCATGTGGGACCCAGGGGTCACATTCGGGCCTTCCTTGCCAGCACCTTTGCATGCTGAAGCACCCCACCTTCCCACTGTCTAGTTGTTTGTTTGTTTTTAGTGGTAAGCTTCAGAGATTTGACATTAGGAAAAATCAATCACTATAACATCTTAGAGTTTCTCAAATGTGTGTCATGTGCCAAACTTAGCCAAATGCTTTATAAATATCCAGTTGCAGACCTGCCACAAGGAAATGTCTTTATTCCCCATCTTTCAGTAAAGAAACTGAGAGTCGGAATGATGAAATTACAGTCAAAAAAAATTCAGAACCAAGTTTCCAACCCATTTTGGAAATTATTTTCCTAGCCATTTTCCTGATCCTACTAGCTAGCTATCCATCAAGCAGATTCCAAGGAATAGTCTGGTCCAACTTTAGGACCTCACTGAGGGTAAGAGGCAATAAACAAAGGAACCCCAGAGGAGCCAAGTGTGAGTCAGAACCTCTTGGATAAAGTCACTCCAGAGGATTGCTTCTGATGGAAGGAAGCCCTAGAATTACAAAGCCCCAGCTCTACCTCATTGTGTCTTTGTAGAGAATTAGTCCTAGAGAGATAAATATGACCAAACCTAGGAGTAATCAAGGAAGTTTACCTAAATCCAGTGCCTTCAGTTTGTAATGGAACATCGTAGCTGGATTTCGAAGAGATGTGTTGTTGTAGTGAAGAGCCTTGCCAACAAGATAAGTCCCTTTGGGAGGATCTCTTGAAAACAAGCAGAATCATGGGACTGATCTGTTTATCTCAGTTGTTACAGTTGATCAGTTTGGGGAGAACTTTGTAACCTCAATAATTGACCTAAATTAAACCATCAGTGGTAATAAATGAAATCCAAGACTACAGAGATGTTGTGTATATATTTATGATGAAATAGATTTCAGTGTCCCTGAATAGTATAAGTTTCACACTGTAAAGGATAGAGTAACTGTCTAGTCTGCTTTTAAACATGTAAAATGTTGATAAAGTAATGCAGAAGGGACTAAAGATGAGTTTTTATGAAGACCTCACAGAAAAGCAATTTCCTGTAGGCTGTTAATGACCACATAGCAGTATCTGCCTAGAGTTCTGTGCATACTTCTGCATGGTACTGTAATTTATCAGTTAGATTCACCTGTTACCCTCTCCTTTTTAGCCTCATTCTAAGAACTCAGTATGAGCCAGATGGTGATGGCACATGCCTTTAATACCAGCACTCAGGAGATCTCTGAGTTCGAGGCCAGCCTGATCTATTGAGTTCCTGTCAGCCAGGGCTACACAGAGAAACTCTGTTTAGGGAGGAAAAAAGAACTTGGTGTGAAATACATAGTAGTTGAACAAAATGTTTGCTAAAAGAAAAAGGAAGTGGGAGAGAGTAAATTATCTTCTCAAGTGTTTGTTCTTGTTCATTGATTTTAGGATGTGGCCATCATGTTCCACATTATACATTCCTACTGTAGACAGACTACTTAGCTAGTTTTGTGTTAACATTGAAGGACTAGATGGACAAGAAAATATTGTGCCGAGTAAGGCCTCACTTACAGAAACAGAAGTTGAGGATCAAGAAGAAAAAAAGCGTGGTCAGTTCTTTATTACACACTAGTTCTTTCTTTTTCTGGCTCTGTGTTCTGCGACTACTAAGGAAACTTGAACCTCAAGCTTTTGTTTGATATTTTAGTAGGTGGAGCCTTGAAGACACACCAAGAAAATACCTTCAAGTATGAGACAATCAAATGTGTTGTCCCCTGGAGTGAGCACTTGTGGGAAGGAAGATAGCGTGGTGCAAGGACATGAGAGAAGCATTAGCGGGAGGAGACCGGGCTGTGGTCTCAGCACCGTCACTGCTGGGGAGGTTTAGGCGAGCTCCTCCATTTCCAGAGTCAGTTCCTCGTCATACAGTTAGGCACAATCCTATCTGCCAGGATTATCAAGTAAGAAGACACGTGGAAGCACTAGGGGAATCAGAAATGCTGAACACCAGGGTTGTCTCTTCAAAGAGAGAGGTGCAAACCTGTTTTCCACCCAGAAGGCAGAGAGCAGAGGTGGTTCAAAGCTGAATGGCTGAGACCACACCAGGTCCTCCCCCAGTCCTTATCACGAGCTTGTTTCTCTCAGCCAATCTACTGGCCCCATCTTTATGGAAGATGTCACATGTACTTTACAAATAGCTTCAATGTAGCCATGTCTCAAGCTTTATTGTCTCACAGGATGGAGTTACTTATCATTAGTAAATTTTTTCACCAAATTGCTCTGTGCTTGAATATGCCTAAAATAAACTACTTGGGTGAGACGCAAAAGTTTGAGCCTACACTGGCTACTGAGTCATGATGACCAACCTGCCTCCTCTCTCTCATGGATCAACCCTCTGCTGGCCATGGTGGCCACAGAGACCCCCCCCCCCACAGATATATGGGTCTTTTCTTTTGAAACTTTACAAGTTGTTATGGCATTACTTCGTGGAGAAAGCTGGGAATAAAGAGATCAGTGACAGCTAGACTCATTTCGCATTGGATTCCCATTCAGGGGAGAGTGGGAGAGCTGTGTGACAGATGGCCTGATGAGGTTTAGAACTAACTTACTACCCCGTTTATGATCTGTTCCTCTCCTGAGGTGGAGTCCCCAAGCAGATCGTTAGGCCTCATGTTTTCTCCTGGTATGTAAGTCCCAGAAGGCAATTCATCCAACAAAACACTAATTCCTTATGAGCTATTTAATAGTGACCTTAAACCATTTTCACTGATAAGAAAATGGAGTGGCAGGATTGGAATCAGGCACTAAATTGTCAATCTCTTACATTTGTCTTAGCCGTTCATCTAAGGGAAGAATTAGGAATCTAATGTCCTATGTTTTTTATTTCCCTTTTAAATGAACATAATGAGTTTGTTGTTGTTGTTTTGTTTTGTTTGTTTTTTGATACAGAGTTTTTCTACTGTAGTCCTGGCTATTCTGGAACTCACTCTGTACACCGGTCGGTCAGGCTAGCCTCATACTCACAGAGATCCTCCTGCCTCTGCCTCCTGAGTGCTGGTTAAAGGTGTGCGCCACCATACT